TTTTTTTTTTTTCAACATTTGTGGTGCCACTTAGACAGTGTAGATTGAAGTCTACCATTTATGTTTCCATAACTTAAGACTTTTCTATGTTTTACAAAACAATAGTTAGTAAGGACCTCAGTAACTAGAAGTTTTCGAAAATAATTTCTACAAAAAAAGCTCAGTATAAGACGCCAAATTATCTTTTATGGAAACCACTGACAACAGAAATATGCACGCGCAGTTGTCGATGAATACACTCGTTTTTTTTCTTATAAGAATATTGTTTTTCCGTTCCAGGCTGAATATTCTTATTTTTTTTTGCCATTTTTAGGCTAAAAATATTCTTCTGAATATTCTTAGATTACAACCTGGTATGACACATATCATTTTCTGTAGAGCTTATTGGTTTTAGTCTAGTTTTTCCAATTCGAGAAAGGAAGAAATTTAATCGGTTTAGTAAAAACATGTAATTGTATTGTATTTATAAATTTTCCACACACAAAAAATTGTATTCTTTTCAAAATATCAGCCTCGGGTTTATTCTTAAAATTTCGTAAATTTCGGCCTCAATATTCTTATAAAATACATTCTTACAGTTACACGGGTTGGTACTGACAAAACTGTCGCGTTTATTATTGACAAAGTAACAGTGGTTTTCAGTATATATAAAAAAAATTGTCTTATGTTGTCAATATCGGTAGCTCGCAACGTTAATGATTTTGCCACTCAGTGTTAAACATTGGGAATATATAACACAGGTACGTTTCAGGGAATACCTAGCAAGCATACCAATAAAGAACAAGTTCCTCAGCTCGAACTCTTGAAACGAAACATTTTATTTTATCACGTGTTCGACAAACTTCATGCAAAGTGTTTCCTTGACAGTAAGGTTACATCTTGAAAAATTAGTTAACTATAGTCGGCTTTTTTTTTTTAGCAACAACTAAGTCTCGCCGAGTGCAAACTGAACTTGTCGTATTTTACCACACACAGAGATGCTTGTCGACGGAAATGTGAGGTGAAAGAATAATCTACAAACGAGCGTAGCGAGTGAAATATTGGGTTTAACACTGGAAAATACAGTCCATATCTTCAGGCCACCGTGCAATTTTCTTTTACTTACATAGACAAAATAGCAGGAAATGACGCCATCAATATCTTTACTAGTGAGAATTTCAGAGCGGAAAAACGTCATAAGCATGCGCGAGTTTTGGCCCCGCGCCAGGCTCCAAGTTTAGAAAAATGGCGGGAATTTCGCCGCTCGTGTAAACAGAAAAAGTTACGAACTTTGTGTGCTTTCCCAATTTTCCCGGTAATCAGCATCATTCTAACATCACTAATGGAAAGTTGGTGCATTGTTTGCGTGGGGAATCATTTTTTTTTTGGGCAAAATTAACCTAAAGAAGGTTTTCGAACCCTTTATTTCCCCACGCTGAAAAAGAAATTTCGGTGCGAAGACACAATTTTTCCACAAACACTCTTTGCATATTGCATCCATATATGCGCACCACTGAATATATAAGCAAGAGAGCCTCTCAGCAAGCAGGGGAGGCTTGTTTACCTGACAGTGAAATGCCGAGAAACATTCATGCTTGCCCAAGTATAAATTATTTAGCTGAGCGCCATCTTCGCGTACCTTATTGGCAGTCTGCCGGCGCATAATTCATGGTAGGGCACATTTAGTCGCCTTCCCCTTCACCCCTTAAATGCTAACCGCAGGCAAACAGCAGTAAATAAATGCTAACGCAAGCAAACCGCAGCAAGTAAAAGCTAATCGCAAGCAAACAGTATATAAATGCTAACCGCAAGCAAACAGCAGTAAATAAATGCTAATCGGAAGCAAACCGCAGCAAGTAAAAGCTAATCGCAAGCAAACAGTATATAAATGCTAACCACAAGCAAACAGCAGTAAATAAATGCTAATCGGAAGCAAACACAGTATATAAATGCTAACCGCCAGGAAACAGCAGTAAATAAATGCTAACCGCAAGCAAACAGCAGTAAATAAAAGCTAATCGCAAGCAAACAGTATATAAATGCTAACCGCAAGCAAACAGCAGTAAATAAATGCTAACCGCAAGCAAACAGCGGTAAATAAATGCTAATCGGAAGCAAACACAGTATATAAATGCTAACCGCAAGCCAAACGCAAGTCCTACCATGAATTAATTCCCAGTCCACCGTTCTTTCCACCACTGCAGCCTGCATTATTACCTGAGCTCGTAAGTACGGCTTGAGATGCGCAGAAAACTGCGCAGCTTTTCCGCTCTGAAACTGAAGTGATGATATGGAAAATACTCTTTTAAAAATTACTGAAGCTTACTGAGTCGGCAAATGCATAATTTCAACAAAGAAACAGAAAAATTCCCTGATACTTCGAGGGAAAAAGAGCACATGAAACAGATATCCAAAACATGACAAATGCTTTTCTTTCACCATTTGGGGAACAATGCTATCATAGTTTACAATTGGAATTCAGCGACCACAAGGCCCAATTTTTCCATTTATCAGTTAGGTAAACATCCTGGTTACCTTAACTTTACTCTTGATCTTCTTTAACAATATACGTTTTAGCTTTCTCGCTCATTACATTACTTCCGATACTGATCATGAAAAACCGATCTTCGCTCCATATACTAGGAAATGGAGTCGGCCTCCTGGCTGAACGCGGTGAATCATCTTCGTAACTCCTCGATTGCTTTTTTCGTGGCATGCTCGGAGACGCTTCGGAAAAAGTCGCATCGATCTTCTCATGACTTGGCGTGGAGGGTAAACTGATATTTGAAAATTGCGGGGATGGCGGGGGTGCCTTCATAGTTGTGAGTCCTTGCTTGTGAATCAAAGTTGGAAGATCTGTCGAACCCTGAGTTTGCCTCATCTTTTCCTTTAAATTTATCTTCAAATTCAAGGACGGTAGGAATTCTCTCGTTCTGGTCTCCAATTTACGCTCTCCTTGTTTCCGTTTTAATAGGGATTTAGACTCCTGGCAAATGGGTGGGAATCTAGTTTTGCCGCGTAAATAGTCAGTACTGGCCAGTGTGTCGAAGCTGTCTGTGAATACAGATAGTTCACTGTGTTCTCCTTTGCCCAAACCAGGGTCTCTTTCGTGTTCCTTGCTCTTCTCAAAGCTGGACTGCTTTTTCATGTTGTCTCGCTTTCTTTTCTGTTTCTCACCATGTGCAAACGAATGTGACTTTTTCAACTTGTGTTCTGTTTAACCACGGTTTTCATCTTTGACTGCATCTGTAAATTTGTTCATGTCTGTTTGAACCTCCGGACTCTTTGTCATCAAAGAATAAATTTCACTGCACAACAACTTTCCACCTAGAATAATAACTTCCTTTCTAGAAGGGGTTTTGTCTTCATCTGTTTCCCATTTAAAAATGTCTGCTTCGTCTCCTTCTTCGTTTACAAACTGAAAACTCATTATTCCTCCGAGTTCAGGAACTTTTCAACTTAGTCTTCGTACCTGGCTTCAAAGAATTTAAATGGCTATTTGACATTACTTGCTAACAAACCACGCTCTTATTTGCAAACGTCATAATAATTAAGTAGCAAGTTTTTGGAGCACAGTAACACTATCGGTTTACTACCTTGTCTCGCTGTCTTGTAACTGTTATTAGCTGTAAACTACTTTATTTGGCACCTTTTAATTGCAGAATTGTTAAGGAGACCCGTTGTTGACGCACATATCACTGAAGCCACGTTACACGTTTGGCACGAACGTAGATTCCCAGCCTGCATACTTCTTTACGCATTTTCGAGTGGCTGAGCAATATGTGAATTTTAAATTGCTATGAAAAAAATCGTTTAGAATTTTTCAAAGCCTATTTCATCATTTTTCTTTTGAAGACCTCAAAGATAAAAGGCGCAAATAGCTAAGTGATTTACCATTGATTGTTTATTATCGTTCATCAGTTTTGCACTCTCCCGAATGACAGTGAGGGAAATTCTTACCCGATTCAGACCTGCCTTTTTTGATGTAAAACGAATGGTGCGGGGCACAGTTCCTCCCCCTCCCTCCCCCGTAAGGTAAATAGCAGGTCAAAAATATTTTCTTTGACGTAAGCAGCACTGAAATGATGACGTCATACCACGTGATAAACAATGTCCAAAACAGTCGCCTTCTTTCATCCGCCATCTTGGATTACTAGATTTTTAAAAAACGTTAGAATACCACAAGAATTCAATAAAACGTTATCAAAACAAAAACGAAGGGCTGTAATTCCCACAACATGCAAAAGTAGCTCTACAATAGTTCAAATTTGCTAATTGAAAGCAAGAAATATTCTTGCTTTGGCGCATTTTCGATTTCCTAGTTTTTCTTATATGACCAGCTGTTCAAAGTGGAAGGTGGAAAATGTGATTAGTGACAGTTTTAAAATATTGGGTACTCCAGTATTCATCACAAAGTTTTGGCAAGTATTTTTAACATCGAAGATGGAGGTGGCTTTGAAGGTGTAATTGCAGGGAATAGTTTTTTCCAAGGGACTTGTTCCTGAGAGGACAACATACTGTTCACAGCTGTTGCACAAAGCCATAGAACTCACCCCTAAAGAAACCGGAACTCAGTCAACGCTGGATACGGATTGGTCGATAACGCAAGCATACTGACAGTATAGAATGAAAAACTGAATGGTAGTAACTTTCTATCATACCCTCTCTCCCTGTATCAAAAGGGAAAAGAGAGACGCCTAATTGACAACAAAATTCGCACTTTTTTCAATAAAAAATTAGCATAAACTGCAACACAGTACAGTTTTCCAGCAATGGTAAACCCTTCCTCGGCATTTATCTCTTATTGAAAGATCTACAATAATTGATCGGAAAGGCAAGTCCGTCGTATTTCTTTCGCAACGCCCGAGTCTTTTGACGACTTCTCTTCGTAAGCCACGAAATAGAGTTAATGTCACGTCGGCCTCCCCTCGTCAAACCATCGGAATAGTTCGTCACCTTGGGTAGAGAATTTGCCCTAAACGGCTCAGCTGGGCAGACGAGTTGGCCGTCGCAATCATTTGTAATGTTTACTAACCCTGAATTTCTTCACAAGGGCAACGCACTCGAGTTATTTACAACAGCGTTTTAGCGTTTAGCAGGCAAACGCTTTCTCGTTAAAGGTGGCAAAGATATTTCCGCGGCCATGCTCCTGGCTTTCTCTTGGTTTAGTTTGGTTCGAGTAAGTAATGATACTTGGCAAGTAACGATACTTGGCAATTTGACTTTTTCGTTCAGGCCTTCGCGTCCATCGTTAGACCTTACCTCGTCTTGTTCTGAAATACATTCCAAACAAGGAACATGCTTGAGACCTGGCGTTGAGTCTTGTCTAAGCGAGGTGACGAACTGTGACTCCTTCAACAACCAGAAATAGTTTTGTTTGGAAAGATGAAGTCTTGTCCCGTTCGTTATCGCTTTTTTGTTTCGTCGTCGTCTTGAATTTCCTTCCAACCCTGTGTGATCTCTGGATACCTCGAGGTCAGTTTTGTCGCCGTCAAACAGTATGCTTTCATCAACACAGTCGATATCACAGTCATTTCTCCACGCCTTAACTTGCCCATTTTCCCCAGTCAGTTGGGTAATGGTCCGTTGTCTTGTCCATTGCGAAACTTTGAATTCTTCTTCTGTTCTTGTGGAAGAGAATTTAAAACGAGAAGAGAAAAAATACTATCGGAGCAAGCCTTTCAAATAGACTTGTTATCCCACAGTAGGTGCATGCACGTACAATACTGCACAATTGTACTGTTGTAAGAGAAAATTCGCTGGCGACAGCCGTGTTTTGTTATAATCAAACAATAGTATTTTTACGAAACGTTTGGGATAATTAACACTTTGAGTCTAAGAAATTTAATTAGATAAACCAGTTTCCACCTTTTAACATTACATGGACAATGACAACTGGAGCAGTCGGAGTCCTGAATTTAAAACCATGGAAAAATTGATTGGGCATTCAAACACAACAGAACAGACAGAACAGTGTTTGGAGCATTTCAGGCAGAGGAAAATGGCGTTGAATAAACAGACTTCGTAACACCCAGGCAGAAATTGTGGCTTTTTTAAAATTATACGAAAGCTAGGTCCAAACAATTTTAAACATAGCATAAATACGTACAATAAAAAGAGTGTTGTGTTTTCAAGTTAGACTCGACACAGAACCTCAGAACCCAACGACATTAAAGACTGTAACACCTCCAGTTTACTTCATATTATACATTCAAAAGAGTCTTGAATAAATTGTCTTCGCTAAGTTACAACCCCAAGTAACTTTATTTATTACAAATGGACATCAATACAACAATAAGCTAATTCAGAAGTTTAGGACATACAATGAACAATCCATGACAACGGTACAATATCCACAGCAATCAGCGATAACCACTAGTTCGGAAATATTGAACAAATCTTCAACGTATGAAGCAAGCATTTTCACGAATAAAGCTCTCTATAGAAACGACTTCTCCGTTTTAACGAGCAAATTCCCCTATCTCAAAAAAACCTGCCATGACAGGACTTCTTGCAACACAAAACAGGCAGTGAAATTCTTCTCAAAGAAGAGCGAGCCAGATTTCGAACAAGACAACAACTTTGCTCATATTTAGCAATTAGAGCAGAGATTTTTTTCCTTTCACCAAAAACGTTTACTATATCTAAACTACCATGAAGAGAAAGTTTTGAAAACGACTACGCTAAGTATATCTAAGCTATTAATAAAGTGGAATCCACTTCAAACAATTTCAATGAAGTGTCATGTCGATGCAAACCTTTTACGTGACAAACTAGTCAAGTTAACAACTACCTGTACAATTGCACATTTTTACGCACTCAACCGAACTATACGTAAGATTACAGAAGGAATTTAAACAAATGCACAATATGCATGGTTGATAACAGACCATGTATGGTCTTTGTTGAGAGCAGATTTTTAGATAAGAAACACATTTTCATCTGCTACCATTATGTGATTGGCATCTTGCATGACTTGTAACGCAGAGTCGATTTCTTCATCACTGAAAGTCTTGTCACGCCTCACTGAGTCCTTGACGGTGGACAGAGGTAACGTCTGGGTATGCGCTGATGAGAAGGCTTCTGACAAGGCTGCTTTGAATTCAGCGAGTCTGGAAAACACGAACATGTAAGCAGTTTTAACAAAACCCGTTCAACCCTCTGCAATTGAAGTAAATCTTAGAATATTGTTTAAGAAAAACATTACAGAGGTAAAAATAAAGGGAAAAACAAGAATGGTTATGATTACGGAATATTAAGAATAGCCCATTAAAGAAAAACGTGAGAGGACTGGGACGAGTTTCTTATATTGATTAGATTGAAAATCTAAACATTTCAACCGAAATGTTACTGAATGAAAAGCTACCCAGTCAAGTTTGAGAGTTTTCAGCGGAAAATTTTCCAAATGGGAGCCTTGCAAAAGTTGCAAAATTCCATACAAACCCTTAAAATTTTGTGGCCCGTCTACCCAATCCATACAAATTCTCCATTTTAGGTGATATTTGAAGAGCTATCATTTTGCCATTCTCCTCCTCTAAATACTTCTATTCTTGCTTAAGACTCTCAAATTTAGTTGATCTTTCATTTGAATATCTTAGATTTTTCAAACAAACGGAAAACAACCATACTCTTTCCCAGTCCTCTCACGTTTTTGCAATGGGCTATTCAAGATGGTAGCCAATGACAAACAATCTTGCATTATTAAGGCTAAACTTTATAAAACACCCTAAATGACTTTGTGCGTTTTGCAGTAAATATTCCAATGGCAGATATATGAAAACAAGTGGTTGAATTTTTTTTTCATAGCTCATGTGTTTGTCACAATAAAATTTGGCTTCTCGCTTCTGAAAAGGGATAAGCAGATAAATGTCAACGCGGGTCACCATTTTCCTTACTGAGCAACGTGGGCAATAGGTCACGTTTGATATATCAATATTCTAACGTGGCTCCGAGACTTTCAGGACAAAACTACAAATTTGTAACTTTCTTTTGTCTTTCAATTCCCGAAAGAGACTTGGATACAAAGAAAGCTCCACCTAATACAGAATTTTGTCCTGAAAGCCTCGAAGCCATGTTAGAATATTGATTTACCGAAAGTGGCCTATTCTGGACTTCCAAGTTCTGAAGGAAACCATTTTATTTTTCTTTACAATATAACTATCATTACTTGTTCTTGGTATTCGTATTAAAAACAAAATTTATTTGAAAGAAAAGATCAACAAATTGCCTGAAATAATAACAAAGCATATATAATAAACTTAGAAGATACTGTCAAATGCGCAGAACAAACATTCAAAGAGGTGCATGGTGAACAGTAAAGATAATCTGTATTTTGGGCTTGGCACTGTATGGTTTACCTGTCAGCAGAAAGAGTAACAGGAGATTTGTCTTCTGTTGTGTCCATGGCTTCTTCAGAGTCACTTGTCTTGGCGGATCGACGGCGTTTCATCTTCTCAACAACGGCTAAACATGTACAAGAAAGCAAAATAGTTAGAGGTCCAGGGGGGGGGGGGTACTCCCCTATGTAAGCTATATAGGCATGTGTCGCTGTAAAGAGTGTGGTTTTCAGGCAGTTTAGTCTGGGACAGGATATAGAAATCAGACAGTTTTGGTCTAGAAGGGGGTATAATTTACAAAGCCAAAAACAGGGTTCTTCACGCGGGGTTCTAGAATAGAAAATGAAACTCGAAAGTGACTTTGTAAGATATTGGTTTAACTAGCGCACGTTGGACTACGATAGTGACAAAGTTTCTGCATGGAAAACAGCTAGTCTGGGATAGAGTAGGGGTATTTGGTGCCTAGACTATAATAGGGTTACAAAATCAAGCTGATTATGGTCTAGAAAAGGGTAAGGGTTTCTTTGTTCCAGCAACAGAGGGCTACGTTGATATTTCGGGAAGAAACTGAATCGTGCAATGTAAAAATCAGAAAACAGTTTTTGCATGATAAGGTAAGGTTTTCAACGTTACAGTCGCAAGTGAACAGAAGACTGATCTGCACTCTGCACGATAAACGTTTTCGATCGCGCTGGAGTGGATAGTAGCCGACGAGACGCCAATTTTGCTGTCGTGTAGTTGGGGGAGTGCAACTACACGTATGATTGCATCGCATGTTTTCTTTCTGAGCGTCATAATCAGAGAGTTTCACCCTGTGGTATTCATGTCCACACATAACAGTGATTCTTATCCAGATTCAAACTCCCTTTAATGATAGGCCCAAACATTTTACAAACGTAAATTCCTTCCGCTATCCCACCAAGTCAACAAGCCAAAAAAGCCAAGCCATCAAGCCAAGCCAAAACAGGCCTTTTGAGCAACTAGAAATGAAGTTTTTACGATCGCGTTTATTTTTGGTTAGCATTTCGCTGAAAACTTGATTTGAATCGAAAGGTCTCACTATTAGTCCTTATAAGGACTTTTTTTTCTAACAGGATCGAAAGGTCTACTTGGAAAAAAAAAAAGAAAACAAGAAAAAAATGGCAAATCAAACACACAAACAAAAGAAAGAAAAATAAAAAACAACAACAAACCAACCAAACAAACAAAGTCCCCATTTACGTTGTTTTCGAACTTACCTCCTGTATCTTGTTCTCCTTCATCGCTTTCAAAATCGTAAGGGTCAGCCCCTTTATCACCTCTCGGTTTCTTGGCGACTTTTTGTTTCTTAGCTTGCGACTTGCTCGTTTTGCTGAAAAACACGAAAATTAGATTAGAAACTGAACAAGAAATATCTGGGACATGTTGAAGTGACAACTCTTCACATAACAATCTTTACGAACTCATTACGATCGCTGACAAGTTGTCAATCCCGAGGGATCGTAGAGGCGTGAACGCATTAAAAGCCTGTTTCATTCTAGCGACATAACTACATAAACGAAATAACGACATAATGACATATTCCCTTCAGGAAAAGATCTGTTTTCCCCCCTTAAGATGTTAAGTTCATGTTGTTATCTTGCTATTATGTCTTACGTTAGGATGTTCATACTACAAACATCACAACATAATTTCCTTCTTATGTCGTTGTGTCGCTAGTGTGAACTAACCTTAAACAGACAAGGGTCCATGTACATAAATGTGAAAACGCTTTCCATTCAGTTAACTTTGTGAACTTGATTACAAGGATCTATTGCGTAACGACGATCCTTTCCTGTGAAAATGTCGATGATGTTGTGAAAACCTTTAAATATATGTTTAACGTTGAGGAATGATAAGAAATCTACGTGTACGGTTTCTCGCAAGCTGTGAACAATTTTCTGGAAGTCTTCGGAAAATGGTCGGAAATCTTCGGAAAATCATAATTATAACTATTCTATATCATTTTATCTTACGTCTTGGCTGTCCTCTGTTGTGATTGGCTTGTTTGGCTTTCCAAATCTTCTTCCTCCTCTTCTTCGTCTGAATCTTCTTCAGAATCTTTCTTCCTCTTGTTCTTTTCCCTCTTTTCCACCTGAGGAAAACAAAAAAGCAAAATATTAAATTGATGGCTAAGGAGGCCTTGGAATAAGGAAACAATAGGAGAATCTTTGTTTACAGTATTTGTCTCATTAGCACAGCGATACAGTTTCTGACAGAGCTACAAAAACATTAATTCTGAATATTGAAAGGGCACAGCACGATTAACTGTCTCAAGGAATTTGAGCCCGATGTATTGCATACTTTTTGTGCGACGTGGGTTTAAAAACTCCAAATTTTACAAAGAATATGAGCTAATTAAAGCTTTTTGCGACAGAGAAATTTTGCAGTTTTTTAAAGCTAATTTCTCCTCGAATATTACACCCAAAGAGCCAGATATTTTAACAATTACTAAGTTTCACAAGCGCTCTAAACGTTCGTACTCAGTTCGTGTCTAACGTGATTCCTTCAGGAAAAATGTAAACAGTGAGGTAAGCAAAGATGTGCCTATAGGGTGCATCATTTCGATTGGTTCACTATCCCAGGCTCATCGACATTGTCCACCCCCTACCAAGTGGACAATGCGTGAACAAAGCAAAAACAAAATGGCCGGTGTGATCTCGCATTTTGCCTGTGTTCTCAGACAATCTGGAACTACAAGACAATGCCCTCCCTGAGAACAGCAACAAGGCAACAAAATTTGGTCTCAAAAAATTTTAAAGAGATGCAAACAAGGAAATATTCTGACTCTATGAACCTCTATTGTCTATTATTCACCTATTTAGCAATAAATACTGTCTTACAACATTTTCTATTTGCAGGCTGTTAAATGAAGTCAGGGTTTGATCGGCAGTATTCAGCACTTTGTCGAAATTTTAGCATTCAGAGCTCAGTTGGTGATATACATGTAAAACTTGATCGTCACGTCTAATCTTTGTTACTCAAATAACTCAAGACTACGTTTCTCTGACAATTGCAGCGTTTTTTTTGGCAATTTACCAATATCTAACTGACATTGCTTGCTAGCAAACCCTCTAATGACACATTACTACAATAATTATTGTCATCATATTGACCACAAAAAAACTTACCTTGTGGAAATACGCAAATGACACCATATCAATAGCAGCATCAGCATCGTCCTACAACGTAATCAAAAATTAAAATCTACAGTTTTCCTTTTTAGTGGAAGTAAAGTGTCATTCGCTGCAGATTAAGGTTATGGCAAGAATCAGGTGAACATTGTTCTCACCTGTCTGGGAGGCTGGGTGCTAGTATGCAGGGGTGTAGGTCACGTGGTTTGGCATAGTCCTCTGTCGTGTGTGTAATAAGAATAAGCCAAATTTCGTCCTTTCATCAATAACATACTGAAGGACATCCACCCATTTGTCAATTGGGTCAGAAATTTTTTTTAAAAAGTTCAGGCCACTAAAATGTTTGGATGGGGTTATCTTCCACAGTTTCGTCCAATACAAAATGTCTCAAATTTGTATAATGTAATTAACAAAAGGTATTTACCTCTTCAATAACTTTGCTCATTCTTGCCTTGGCATGAGCAGTTGCCAAACGGATCATTGTCTCCAGGGTACGGGCAGTAACAGGCATAGTCTATAAACAAAAATAAAGAGTAGTACAACAACAACAATATTGTTATTTCACTCCAGAGTTAGAAATAATTTAATAAAATTGTTATAGATTAAACAAATGATAAGGGTGCTGGCCAGGGTTTTAGTCAGGATTTGAAAAGTGGCAGTCCAAAATGCGCTATAAGGTCTGCTAAAATAAACAATTTCCAAAGTAACATATGGAAAAGAAAACAATTTTCTTTAAAAAGTGGCTGTCCACAGGACACCTGGACGGTCATCTGGCTAAAAGCCTGGTGCTGGCTACCCAAAATAACCTAAGAGTTAAAAATGCCAGGCAGCCAGTTAAAAGAAAAGATATACAAGGTGACAAAGAAGTTATTTCAAAACAGTAAATCTAAATAGCTCTTAACGCCTATACTTTTTCATGGCAAACAATTTTACAACACAAGTAGCTAAGCTTGTGTACAGAATATGTAAAGTTTGTTACAACATATAGCCTGTACACAAACTTGCCCACTTTACTGACTAGCCTCGTTTGCTGTGATTCGTCTTTTGCAGTTCGCACATGTGACGAAAAGTGAGCTTGATCACAAGCTAGATGTCATTATAATGCAGCTCTAAATCTTACTTGCAACTGTGTTAAAAATACTGAACAGACTTTGTCTTGACCACACCTTAGCTTTTTCATTTCCAACATTTTCCTGATCTCTGAGTGTAGAGTAGCTTTTCGAGATCTTGTCTGCAGCTTCTTTAGTCAAGCGAGGCTATATGCAATTCAGAAAGAAAGAATCAAGAAATGAAACAGCTATACATGACCATTAACCACTTATTAACTAAGAATGGCGGTCACTCAGAAATTATGTGGTCTTGAAAATGGTCACTCTCTTTTGAAGTTACCTAGTAACTTTATTATATGGCTAGGTCTGTGAGCGGGCAGGATGAACCGCTACCTGAGTTGGCAAGACGGCATTAAATTGCCCCCTCAGGATTACCTGCTGTTTCCTGCAAAAATATAGTATCCCTTTTCCATATAATAAATCCTTTAAATTATAATTGGCCAAGCTTGTTTGGTCAAGAAGGCTGGATATTAGCCTCATTCTTTTTTTGTGTATTTATGGACCTCGACTCTGTCTCGGTCCATAAACACACACACAAAAAAGAACCAATATCCACCCATCTTGACCATACAAGCTTGGTCAATAACCCATTTGTATGTGACCTCAAACTGAAAGTCATTTGTCCTTGAAATTTTATTCACTCTTTCACCGTTTCACTGGGTCTTGTACGTCGCAGCTCAATTCATTTCATAGCTACTCCACCATATAACTCCTTAACGAGATGTATAATTTTTTTCTTTCATTTTCTCTTTATATTGTACAGTTTATTTGTTGGGATTGAAGAATAAGCATATATACTGACCTTAATGCTCTTGGCAACATGGATGTACTTCTTCATGAATGCCATAGACACATATCTCTCTCTAAAAATAAATTGGAAAATAGAAGTTCATATTTTGTTACTTACCTCTTCTCAGCGTTTGCTATTGGTGAATAACATACTGGTGTAACTGTCAATACCAAACTGTATTAATTTTTATTCAAATTGTTCAATTTGTTTCGAGCTTCGTTTTGTTCCCTATTGCTATCAGGGTATCATATAAACATCAAGAGTATTTAAAAGTTCAACAACTCACAAAGTTTATAACAGGGTTCGGGTAACCAGAGAAAGTTACTTCAGATCTTACTTACACATCAAAAAGGTATCTTTTGGCTTCAGCCCACAAGGAATATACATGTGTTGGCTGGTGCAAATGGCACAGAACAAGTAGTGCATACGAATGGGAAGCTACGTGCTTTATTCCTCCATGACAACTAACTGAATCTGGGGAGCCCAGATGTGGCTTCCTTCAAAGGAGGCTGGAATACAAATGACAGGCCAACACATGTACATGGAACCCTCGGACTTAATCACATCTTTTCAGCTTACTTGCGATCCTTTCGCTGTCCATGCAACATTGCATCATGCTTCTCAAAAATGGGTGTGTCTGTCTCCTCGTCCTCTCTGTCAGGGTCCTGTGTGGCCAGTGTCTCTGTTGTCACTCCAAACGGTAAGGCTAATAAATAAATTAAAATAATTATAATATTTAGACAGGAAGCCACATCGGCCTTAGCTGGTTTTCATGCAGGTCCTCTGTCCTGGTCGAATTGGAATTTGGAGATGTTGGTTTTTCATGGGGGAGAAAAACCCAGGCCACAATGGTGAAAGGCGAGCACTCTCACAACTGTGCCACCCCTGCTCCCTAATAAAATAAGCAAATGACAATGATTTAAGAACTTAAGTTGTCAATAACCTTGAGAGCATTACAAAGTTGCCTTCAAAGGACCACTGTTTTCATTGAAGATGTTTACAATATGTTTCCCAGTTGTGTTTTTAAAATAAATATTTGGAAACATGGTTTATTTTCCTTGCTACAATTCTTCAAATGTTTTGCTCAAGGTCTTTTTATTTTACTGATTCAGCAAGGAATTGTCATGAAAGTCAAATTTCAGATCAGACTAATTATTACCAAACATAAATCCATGATTTGCAAACCTGATCATGCCTTCACTTTGACTTGAAGAAATTCTTATTAACAATAATCATTAATTGGTATAATTACTACAAGTAATTCTTTCCTCCAATTTCTCTCACAAATTTTTCAGGGAAGAAAGTATAGATCAAAAAGCAAATTCTCCTGTGGCAAATTACAGAAAAATTACAAGAGGCCATGAGGAGAATTTCAATGTTGAGCCTCTGCTCACCTTCCCCTTCTTGTTCCCCTGGTTTTCTGTATCTGTGCATCCGTAGGACATGCTCAGAGATTTTGCGATCATTGTCAGGGTCCATCTATTTATAACGTCAAACAAGTTTGTTTGTGTAAGTAATTCTCTTTTTACTAGTCAATTAGTCTAAGCTTAAGGAACAGACAAACCAACAGCTCTGGACCTTTCAAGGCTTTTAATTCAAGCTAACCAAATGACAATAATATACTGTCTTGTACAGTATCAGAACACTATGAAATTAATGTACTCAGCCTCGTTACAAATATTAACAACGTAAATATAAAAATAATCTACACCCTTTAAGAACTGGCAAAAAAACCCTGCCCTCCCCCCTCCACCCACCCCGGGAGGGGGTTCAACCTTACCAGCTCAAAATTGTTCAAAGAACTCACACAGACTGCAGACATATGATGATAAATAATATGATTTCACTAATCAGTCAAGCTTGACTCACTTGATCAAGTACAATAAACAGCAGATCAAAACGTGACAGCAAAGAGTCCTGCATTCCGATGTTGTCCATGGGGTTCTTATACTCATCATACTGCATTGATGAAGGAAAAAAGAAAGGTGAAGCAAAACATTATAAAAGTACAATGATCGCTTTTTGTCCTCTATTTCACAAAATAATAGAAACAGGCTTAAAACACGATTTTTCAACAACATGTACAGGCTTGGCTTATTCATTGCATCTTGTTTGTTCGTTTAAGTGTCAGTTTACCCATCCGTCCATCTATCTATCCATCCATGCATCCATCCATCTGTCCACCCCTAAAAGTTTGTCTGTCTGTTTGTCTGTTTGTCTGTCAGTCAATCGGTCAGTCCATCTGTCTGTGTCTTACTGCATGTTTGTCTGTCATTCTGCCGTCTGTCTGTCTAGATCTGTCTGTCCGTTATCTACAAAAAAAGGAATGACAACAACAAGGAATAGCGGCTTCTTACCCTCCCTGTCTGTCTGTCTGTCTGTCTGTCTGTCAATCAGTCAGTCTGTCTGCAGTCAGTCTGTGTGTCTTACTGTGTGTCTGTCATTCTGACTGTCTGCCTGCCCAAATCTGTCTGTCTGCCTGTTATCCACGACAAAAGGGGATTACAATCACTAGGAGTAGCTGCCCCTTACCCTGCCATAAACTGGGTTAGCAGCTGCTAAAACCGAGCAGCGAGCATTAAGCTTGGCATGAATTCCAGCCTTGGAAATAGTGACTCTTCCTTGTTCCATAACTTCATGTATGGCAGTACGATCAAGATCACTCATCTAAAAGAAAGAACACTGATATGATCAAATGGACCAGAGGCTAAGCAGGCAGGCCAAGCACAGCCAGACAGTATAGTAAGAGTTGCTGAACATTTGGTTGGTTTCAAGAAATACTCTTATTTAGCCGCTCCATGTTGAAATAAGAACTCATTAATATTACAGTTGAGTGTGATTACAGTGTGAATCTACATGTAGGCCCCTCCAATTCTTAACGCTTCAATGACACTTTTCATGTATTTGTCAAACTTGATTTTGAAAATTCCTGTCGCCTTTAACACCTTATTTCTTACATGTCTCATATTTCTTTGTGATTTACAAATTTCACCTTGCTGAATTTAATTCTTAATCAAAATTTCAACCACTGCTGATAAGCTAGTTTTACCTTGTCAAATTCATCAATACAGACCACTCCCCTGTCAGCAAGCACCATGGCTCCTGCTTCTAAGCGACGCTCCCCTAAAAAACACATTTATTTAATAAATATTACACACAGTTAGTTAGTAATTTATTTGTTATCAAAACTACCTGGCTAGTCAGATTTATTAAGCATAAAAGACTTTAATTTATAAATTAATTGAAAGCTCTTTACCTGTCTCAGGGTCTGTAGTAACAGCGGCAGTCAAACCAACGCCTGATGAGCCCCGCCCAGTGGTTGGAATGGCACGAGGGGCAGAGTGTAGGACATACCTAGGAGGTGTAAGTTTCTTTTTTTAATTAAAAACGTAAGCTGAGAACAAGTGAAATGTAAGAGACATTTACAGGACTTTTCATCAAAAATGTTGAAACTGAACAAATTGGTTGATTAGGATCATCATAATTAGCTTTTTCATTCAAAAAGATAATCCTTTGACTGTTCACATTCATGCTTTTATTTCTTAAGTGAATATGGTCTTCTACATGAAAGCAAGGAAGGATGAATGGAAGAATCAGTAAAGATCAAGTGAATGAACCAATCAATGAATTTAAATAAAGCACTGCCAAATGAAAAGGCCTGTAAACTGTAAACCAAACAAAACCAAAGGTCAGATCTCCTTACCTTAGCATCTGAGACTTAGCAGTAGATGGATCACCAATCAGTAGAACATTAATGTCACTGAAAAAAAAAATGCGATAGGACATTTTCTTAGTAAAAATAAGCTTTCAAGGAACCAAGCAAGAAAAGGGTGGGAGGTGAGAAGGCAGGGTGGCAGGCAGGTGAG